TTCTTTTTTCCTTCTTCATGATGGTAGTTTTGTTGGTTTATCTTATTCTTTCCCCGTTCCCGAATCGTTCAGTGGAATTAAGCAGACGCTCTCGTCACGCCTAACAGGCGATCATTCCTTCAACAAAGCAGATTTCATAGCAGAGCTAAGTCGGGGTAGGGCAGTGGGATCTCCAGAGATTAACGAACGCTATTTCCGCTGCTTCGAAATTTGCTGTAAAGTACGTTTTGTACCGAATGTTGTGATTCGTTTTACTCACTCGATATTATATTTTCTTAGACAGACCCCTAAAACTCTTGGCAAAATCAAAGAGCTATAGGAACGTCTTCCACGTTAACCTCACTGCTGTGCAAGTGCTGAGTTCCAATCACTTGCTGCTTTGTGAACGATCTGATGCGGAAAATGTATTCTTCGTTTTCCGTTGAATTCACAATAATTGCTTATATTTTTAGAAGCCAGAAATGAATAGTATTACTGAGGTGGTGAGTGTTTCGACTCTTCTGATTGCGCTTCTAACTGCAGTCTCGACAGTGGTGGGTTGTGGAATGATGCCAACAGGCCAATGTAATGAGTAGAAGAGTGTTATGCAAGTACAAACAATAGCAATTTTAAATTCAGAGTTCGGAACCCCAACAAAATTGAAGAAAACTAGGAAATCACAATTACTCAGAAGCTTTCGTAAAACGAACCTTTTGATGAGAACACTGTGAATTCCAAATAACAGAAGTGGAAGAAGATATGTCCTGAGAAATATTTTTCCTTACTGTTCCTGAGATTTTCTGAGAATTAGTTATAAAGAAACAGTTAAGTTTCAGTTATTATTACTTTTCGCTTACTGTTGTTATAACTACTATTTTTTAACTACTATAATGCCGAGATATTTGCAAAACTCCGGGCCGCAGGTGTCTGCGGTCGGGGACGAACGCGCTGTTGTCCTTTCTGGGGAGTAACGCGCTCACCACCACACCATGCAGGTAAAAAAGAATAGCTGAGAGACTGGCGAAACGAAGGACCCGCATGGTGTGGTGGTGAACGCGCTACTCCCCGGAAAGAACAACAGCGCGTTCGTTCTCCACCACATTCACCTGCGGTTCGGAGTTTTGCAAACACCTCAGCATTATGGTAGTTATATTTCGCAAAATACCCTGCCGTTAAAAAGAATAGGCAGTAAATAAAAAGGTTAAGAATGTAATAATTTTTACTTTGTCTTTTACCAACAAAAGTTACGAGATTTCTTGGCAACGATGTCTAGGAATTTTAACATAACCGGCTTCACCTTGCCAGTGAACATGGCTTACGCTGGAATGCCCACTATCCCTGCCTAAGTTCCTGGCAATGAACCTAAAGTGGAATTAGCTCAGGCATATGTACAACGCATTGTAGCGCAAGCAGTGAGTTCACAACTCTTAGATTGCAACCTTTTTTCGCTGTTTCTAGGAGGAAGAAGCGAACTTCAATTGCTTGAAAGTCTTTAAATTTTGGCTTGAGGACGGTTTGTGTGGTTCAACATTAGTTGTTGATTGAAAACACTTCCATAAAGACTCTTACAACAAATGATTCTTCAGGTTTTCGATGTCCTCGAAGGGCAAGGCCTTTCTGACGGTATTTTGACAGTCCTTTCAGGTCAACTTACTGTTTAGATCAATTATACTCCGTTGCAATGCACTGACGTATTCGTGAACCCTATGCCAGCGACGGAGAATACGATTGAGTTTATAGCATCTTGCGCCCATAAAGCAGATCTGAAAGGCAAAACTCCACGTGAGCAACGAAACGTTGGAAATTATATGGCTTCGTTCGTTAGCTTTCTAGCCATAATGGCCAACCCGACAATTAAGGCAAACTCTCAATTTTTTAAACCAATAATAACAAATATTAGTTAAAAATAGTATTATTAACTAAAATGGTAAGATCACTAGTAATGAGAGGTAGCAACATGTTTTCCGCAAACGATTTGGAGCGATCACGTAGAAATGATACCGTCCGGCTGATTTGGTACCAACCCTTTTAACACAGAGATCGTGGAGAGATGACAGAGAGTCATTGGGGAAACAGAAGCGGAAGTGCTACCACTAGGTGAGGATGGCAGTGTTTTCCGAAAGCAATTTAAGTGCCATTAAGCCCATAAGCAGAAACAAAACTTGTCGTTTTCAGCCATTCACTTGTTTTAACAAAGCCACAGCTCAGAAAAAAGAGAAAATCTTGCATTTGCTGAAATCTAGATACAACTTATTGAATGAAGACAAGTCGTCATTTTGAATGGAAGCAATCATTTACTAACGGCGTGTACATTTCACAAGGGACCCTTTCCATGATTGAGAGCGAAGTGTAGGAAACAAATGTTAGTGGGTTTGGCTACGGTTTGACGTCTTCTCTGTCGTCTTTTCTCTTTGTCGACATGTTGGGCAGTACCTGAGCGGTTTTCTGAGAAAATTCCAAAACTCCGTTGCAAAGCGTTCTCTGGGGCTATACCCCGAGCGGTCACTATTGTCTCAGATTATTTCCGAACAGCAATGACTTTCACGAGAGGTAGCAGGGGCACTATTACAGTTCAAATCATTATATGATAACACGTACCGTTTAGCTTGATAACCCGTATTCATTGGTTTTGTGGGCTCCAGCATAATCTCCATCTATTCAAAGTTTTCTGGCTTAGCCGTTGTGGTAACTGATTGTCTGCTTGTCCTGTCTTAAAGATAGGGCTTGCACCAAAATGTTGAAGTAGCTTGTCAATTTTATGAGGCACTCCTTGGAAAGTTGGTTAGTTTGAGTCGTCGAAACCTAGGCAGATCTAACTTGTGCTTTAAAAGAGAAACATTAACAATGGATATAATGAGTTTTTAATGAACTCACTAAGCAAAGCGTAGTCGAACTTTTGCAAGAAATTTGATTGAAGACTCTTTCTAGTTATCCGGCTCACAAAACGAGAGGCATTCTCGAGTGGATCACCGTCGCCCATAGATAAAATCACAATGATCACAAGTAGCTCATTTTCGATAAAGAACTATGAAGAATCTACATAAAGTAGAATATAATTGCCCGTTAGTAATGAAGCATGCTGACAATAAAAAAAGGATAAAGATAAGATAAAAGGGCGAAGTTCTCGGCGGTGATCTATCCCTGAGGGATGCGCCATGCATTCAGCTTCGTAAGCAAGTGACTGAATGTATATTTGGCTTTCACAACGACTCGCGGTGGTCTACCGATACATCGGGCCAGTGCTGCTATCCTCCTAGACCACTTTGGTACCAATTTGCCGGCCTCGGAAGGATGGGAGGCCTGGTATGCTAGTGGTGCGGGGATCGATCCTATGTGTATTGTAGGACGTCTGGAACCACTGCGGAACACGCGCGCTTAAAATTGTCGTACTTGATAATATTCTACAGTTAAGGTATCCTCAAAATCAAAATGACATAATAAACTCGGATGCAGCATTACTAATATTTTATGGGACTTCTACACCAGCTTAAACGATACAGACTTCGACATGGATTCATTTTCAAATAGAAGCGTTTTTCAACTAACGAAACCACTTAAATGAGGTTTCTTTGAGGAAATAGCTTCACGACAGGCGACATCCAGAATTATGGCTGGGTATGGCAAAAAAACCGTTGAAGAATAGTGCACAAACGGCAATGCAAAGATATCTATGGAGTCGTAAATCAAGGAGTCCCGGGTTTCACTTATATCATGCGACAGTGGAGAAATTTACTAGTTCCTAGGATGAACATACTGTTAACTTCGTTAACAGATCACATTGGACAACAGTGGAAATAGCTCGAAAGACCGACTTTCTATAAACCTCGGCATAGATAGTTGATATATTTATTTATATGATCTTGTAAACTGATCTTCTTAAGCTGACGCGAGGTTGGTACAGGTCTTCGTTGTCGGTGTCGTTGTTTTTGATGTTGTTGGTCTATGGCTGACGTTTCGGCGACTTCGCCTTCCTCAGAGCCGTGATATTACGTGTGGGACTCGCGGTTGGCAAATTGGTGCCAGACTTACCTAGGAGAATATCATCACTGGGTCGATATACCGGTAGCCCACCGTGAGTCGTTGTAAAGGCCAAATATATATTCAGTCACCTCCAACGATGCTTAATGAAGTCGAATGCATGACGCATCCCTGAGGGTTTGGTCAACGACGAGAGCTTATCCTTTCTTCAATTTAAATCAAAATTAGTAGTTTTTTCTTCCATGATTGTATCTCTGCTTTTTATAAAAGAAAACACAAAAAACTCCACAAATTTTGAGAACGAAGTCATTTAAAAAAGAAAAAAGAGCTATCACTCTCACATGGAAACGCTATTTTCAATGCGAACAGTGGACGGTTCATTAAGGAACGAGGTAGAATACAGCAACCACCCTTCAGTACAACAACCAGTTGCCCAAAGATACTTCTTGAACTTAAACCGTTTGTTTACTTCTTGTCTATGCCGCTTAGCATTCAACTGCTTATCCTCGGCTACAACTTCGTCGTGTTTGATTGGCTTAGCCAGCCCACAGATCAAGGAACTAAATCGATTCAAGAAAAGTGGAGGGATTTTCGAAACAGTATAGTAAAGACCTTAAACTCGTAAAACTTGAAGTGAAAAAAAGATAACATAGTATGAAGAAGATTCCAGCGGCCCACTGGGAAGTGTACCTGGGTGTCATGCTGCGATGTAAAGCGAGAGTTTATCCTCTCACTTGTTCCCCCGAGCTGAGGATGAGTTCGACGTTCCTATCAGGAAATCCGGCTCAGTGTAAACCAATAGAAGGATCCACCACCGTCCTGCTATCAAATATTCCACACGGGCAGCCACTGCATGTGGTGGTTACGAGAAGGCCGACTTTGGCTCGGGTGACCTCTAGACTTCAGAGAAAGACAATGTCTAAACCACCAAAACTCCGGAAAAATGGAAAATATGCGGAGGCTGCAAAATTAGTGAGGATGGTCATTCAACTGGGAAGTACCAAATAGTATGAAGATACCTGACATGCACTTATTGTCTCCACCTACTTTCCCTTTAGAGCAGTCTCGAGTTCCTTCGTGAAAACAGGGTGCTGTTCAGCATCAAAACGCCACTCATTAAAATCAAACGGTTTCTTTCCAACATTTTCTGCTGCCTGAAAAGACTCCCAGTGTTAAAAATACTGTCACCAGTATCACCTGTAGTCCTGTCGATCGTCGAGTGACTCGAGCGGGTCCTAGTAAACCTTCCACTTTTGCCTCTTGCATGCATAAGTAGTCCAGTCGGTTCTGCTCGCTTTAGCAACTCGTCGAGCATCATATCTTTTTTCTAGCCTTTTCGTGAAAAACTCTGACCATCGGATCGGTCGGTGGTCTTCCTGCAGTACGTTTGACATCCCGAGATATCCAGTCACTAACGGCTTTCATCCATCGGTTGTCGTTTATACGCATTATGTGTCCGACTCGCCTTATCTTCGACTGTTCGTCGTACAGATCGGCATCTTTGATTTTTGATCGTTGACGCAGGTCGGAGCTTCGGATTCCTTCCCTTACTTGTGTGACACAGGATACTCCTAGCATCGCCCTTTCGACTGCGCGTTCAATAACGCTGAGTGATCTTTCATCCTGCTTACGCAGCGACTAGGTTCTGACACATGCGTTAGGGTAGGAAGTATCGCTTAGTCGAAAAGGTGGGTGCGGAGCCGGGTGCTCTTTGTGCTCTCCACTACACTCTCGGTGCTCGTGTGTTGATTTCCCGATCTAGAAAGATACAACTGCAGATATTTGCTCCGTTGAGCGTGGATGGGGCATACGAAACCAACCCGTTCCTCGTGAACATCCTTTTTGTGAGATTTAGTCGAAGGCCAGTCTTTCCACAGGCTTTATCAAAGCCGGCGAGCGTACGTTCCGCTTATCTAATATTCGGTGTTATAAGGACGATGTCATCAGCAAACCGAGGGTGGTGTAACTGCCGAGCATCGATTTTCGCTTCCATATTATCCCATTCCAATATTCGCATGACTTCTGGAGGGCGGCGGTAAATAATTTTGGCGGGATGGTATCGCGTTGCCTAGCTCCTCTTTTGACCGCAATGCTAATATCGCTGTAGAATGGTGATATCTTGGTTGTGAAATCTTTGTACAGCTCATGAAGAATCCTTATGTATTGAGTAGGGGCTCCGTGACTATCAAGGGCTTCCATGACTGCTTCTATCTCAATTGAATCATAGGCCTTCTGTAAGCCGATGAATATGAGAAGGAGCGCTCATTTGTACTCTCGCGATACTTCAATGAGTCTTGTTATCGTGTGGATGTGGTCTGTCGTAGTAAATTCTTTTCGAAACCCTGCTTGCTCATATGGCTGCCCTTCGTCCAGTGTTCTGTCCGTCTTGTTTAGATTGACTGGAGTGAAAAGTTTGTAGACCACAGACACCAAGCAGATTGGGCGATAGTTGCCGATATCATGTAGGTCACTCTTCATGAACAATGGCAATGTCTTGCTGCTCTACCACTGAGTAGGGTTTTTGCGTTCAGTCAGGTAACGTGTGAAGAGCCGAGTCACTCTGCTTACGAGGACTGGCGGAAGGCTCTCTACGTGTTCAGATCTTATCTGGTCTGGACCTGTGGCTGTTTTATTTTTCACCGACGAAATGTCATGTTGGGTTTCGGAAGGGAGAACCAGTTGGGCGAAATATCCATGTTTCTTTGTTTCATATGAGGCTCACTAGACTCCAAGATCTGATAGAGATTCATCAGATGTTTCGCTTTCGAAAAAAATGAATGATTAAAAAAGTTTCAGAGTTTTCTCCAAGCACGTAATCCATAGGAGGTAAGCTTTTGATGATGCAGCGTGGTAATCCAGAATATTGCACATTAAGCGAAACAAGTGTATTTCATATATTTTTCCTGCACGTATCGTTATAAACCGATATCGCCTTCCAAAACTGTCATTTCCGCTTCTACATAAAGACAATAACGATGAAGCCTTCGTGCGACTACGGCTTCTATACCATACGAATTATACCGTGCTTGGCGGTACCAAGTCGGGAGTAGTTAGTCACCGTAGAAGCTTAACATTCGTTACTGTTGGTAGTACAGGAGAATTCATATAAAAATGCATCTGCCAGATAACAGCTGCAAACTTTCTTACCTCTTTTTATTGTGTATAGCAGTATTTAATAGTGACGATGTGTCCAGCTATGTGAATATCACACACATGCTATAAAAGCTCACTTTCGGTTTAACTTTTGCACAGAAGTAGTGCTCAGAAATTCTTGCCTCGTGGAACCATCACGTCCGTCTCAAACCCTCTCAACCTTCCGATTCTCGTTTCAAAGCGATCAGCACCAAAGTTGGGATTTTTGATAGAGAAACTTCAAAGCGCTCCAGTTTCACCGACTCGAATTTGAAAAGTTGTTCAGTGCTGGATAAGGAAATCAATTGTAAACGAACCTGACTTTACAAGATCTTCATTAATCGAACAGACCAATGGAAGCAGAAGCGATGCCGAAACAGTTCCTCACTCAAAGCCGAATTTGTGAAATACTTGAGATTTGGTGACGACTTAACCGCTGGAGCCTTAGTGATACTTTAAAAGCCTGAAAATATCAAACTCATGCTTCATTCTACAACTAGCGAAGCTTTCGTTTTTTCTTTCCGTGAAAGTTCCGGTTAGCTTCTTTCAAAAAATGATGCATTTATTCTTGAATAACTTCCTCATTAGTTTAGAAGAACGAAACAGTTCTGAAATTCAGTAGCTGAAGAAACCATTTATGGGCTTTGTTAGTTCATTAATTTATCAATTACACTAATAAGTGCACCTACTATCGATTCAATTTCAACAGAGTCTCAACCACATCAAAATCACAAATTTCATCCGTCGTTTCCAAGCGCTTCAAATTGCGAAAACATAGCAAACTTAGATAAGAAGGACCAGATATCGTTGAAATTCTTTCCATGGCGCATTTCTGAGCCCCCTCAGGAAGGATTTGCTACGAGACGAGGTGTTAAGGTTAAAACTCGCAATAAAAGGAATTTCTTCTGAAGGTCAGAGCCTAAAGTCTGGGAATCAGTTTATCATTTTTTGCCTAGAATTCTTTCCTTCTTTCAGTAAAGATTCCATGACTACAGCAATTTTCTCACACAATTTTTCAAAAGGCGCAAGAAACCATTCGTTTCTCGTTTGCAATTCATAACAGCTCTTTAAAAACAGCTGAGAATTGAACGGCTTTTTCATAGGAAGACTTTTCCACAGCAAGAATCTCCCATTTATTCCTCTTAGATTTGCCCTCATTAAACTCCAAGAGTGTACGCTGGCGTTATTTTTCTCCCCTTATGAAAGGAAATCCCGACATAGGTCTTTGTTCAGAACTCTCAAATCAAAATGGCTGAATGGGACAAATTTATGGCCATCACAGCAGCCTTTCTTTCGATACTTTTCTCCTACTCATCTCCGGTGTTTGGATGCGGCGTAGCTCCAGGACAGCAAAGTGTGGTATAATTGTTGGAACAACCCTCTTCACTAGTTTTTTTCACTTCAAATTAACAATTTTTAGCATTTAAACTATATAAAACAAGCTAGTAGATTTACAATAAAAAAACTTTTGATTTCTGAGCATAAGTGGTACCACGCAGGAAGCTCCCTGTGCTTCGCAGTTCCATTTATAGGAGCGCCGGTGCCAGTGATTATTGTAAAGGCTATGAGAAATAAAACAACCAAAGTTAATGTGCACTGAATAGCCATAATATTGTTAGAGCCAGATAAATTTACTTGCAGTGACAAACCGAACGTTTGCTGTTAGCAATTTCAATTTGCCAACACGACTAGCCTATAGTGCCGTAGCAGCTGTAAGAGCACAAATTCCTTTTATGTCCGAGAGCGAGCAGGCGGCCAGAGCGTTGGTACAAAATCTAGTCAGCAATTCGGTAAGAGACGAGCCATTCTGGACCAATAAAACCTCGGATTCATAATCCACCAAAATTTAAAGCAGACTATGACCTATTCTATAAGAGATCGCTCCACAGCGTGATTTCTGTTCAGATTAGGGAAGTTCTGGAAGAAAACGGACGCCGAGCTGGTCTACCAGATTTCGTGACAGCGGCGATTTTAGACCAAATACAGGTGCAGATCAACTACCAACCACTTGGATGCGCGACGGTTTCGGTTAATCCAATGCCGAACGCGCAACTAAATGGTCAGTGTGCTAATTATTGCTTTTTTAGTGTCATATTGATATCACGTGGTTCTCAACCATTTATAAAACACAATCTTAGTGTTTCTTAAAACAAATGAAATATTGGAAATAGGAAACTAATCAATAAATCTTACCTGACTATTCACGTGAAATATAACCTCCACTAACATTTGAAATTTGATAGGACAAAATATGTATTGTTATAAATAAATTATTCGAGAAAGCATTGGTTTCCAATCAATTTTGGATTTTTGAAAAGTGTAAACTTGACAGCGGCGGCAAATATGGCGAGAGAGAGTTGCTTCGTCACTGGAGATATAGTAAGCGCAATATGTCCCCTCATGAACAACATGGTTCAAAATTGCCAGCTTGTGGGAGGAGCAATGCAAGCAGTAGCGGTACCTGACCAACATTTGACCATCAGTGGAACGATCGCAGTTAGTAGTTTCAATAAGTTGATTTAAAGCAGCTTATAGTTTGAAATGCTGGAAGTCTTCAGATCAGAAACATAGTCCTGTCTACCTGGACCACACAGCAGTGGCAGTCCGTTCTGAACAGAGTTCTTCGTCTTCTAACATCCCGCTTGGGAATGGCTTTTTCCTCCGCGACTGTTACTGTTACTTGAAATACAGCCGGAAGAATTTGAAAGTCTGCATTTTTTGCTGGTGTAGGTTCTTTGGGGCATTCTTTGTAAGCTTTTCAGCTTTCTTTATTCTGGTCTTTCTGGGTTTTAATAAACAGTAGTGTTAATGGAGTTTTCAAACCACGTTATGGTTTGTTTGCTTGGTTATTGCACTATTGGGCTCCACCAATAGGTTGTTTTTCGTAGAATAAATTTTTGTACTCATTTGTCGTTGAAACTAGGTCTACGGATCCATTATAATCTTTTTGAATAGTCTGTTAAATCAAAAGAATCAGCCTAATTAGAAAGAAGTCACTCGAATTCTTGCACCTTCCGTAGGCGATGAATTACGTTAATAACAGCTGGTACGTCTTGTAGTAACTGCAATAACACACATAAAAAGATGGAAATCTAAATGGCAATCACACGGTCAACAGCTTTTCAAAAAACCCGCCGTTTTTCAAGTGCCTTCCACTGAGGAAGAACAGCTGACCAGAGTCGCATATGGTAGGTAAATGCACCACCCCGCGTTCCACATCAAAAGTCGCTGTAAAAGTACAGATCCAGATTACTTGTGATCTCCGGGCGTTCCTCCCCACTATTCATCCCAGGGTTCCTGGCACTCATCCGAAAAGCCTCCAGAAGTTTGCAGGTTGTCGTTTTGGCATCCTGTGCTATGTTTTTGTATCCTATGCGTCCCTTGTGGGATATTTAGTCTGGAGTCTAACTTTCCGTTTACCATCCAGCTGTTTATGCGTATACCTA